CATCCGGGCGACAGACACGTATTGCACGACAATGTTGCGACCTATCACTTGGATCGCCGCATTGCGAGCCCAATAGCGGAGACATGATCGAACGTGGTGGGAATGTGGCGGCGCTTCAACACGTGTCTTTTCATCTGGCGGGTAGTTAAACGCGTTTCGACTGATCTGAGACGGCTGATCCATCGACGAGCTGAAATTACGTGACAGGATCAAAGACATGGCTGATCGTTCGTGGGGACGATGCCAAGGGGTCTTGTTGAGGCTATGCATGCAACCATGCTGCGTTGGGCCTGGCTCGGTTCGAAGTTGCCTTCTGGAAGAATGAGGTCATGGCCCGAGTTGGTGCACTAGTGAATGCGGGCGTCAATCTCACCACAAACATTAATATCGTTCGCTCAGCAGCGATGTGAACCCGTTTCTAAATTGCTGCCCGGCTGTCGGAACTGCGTCGTGGAATGGCCTACGGCCTGGCTTTCAGCGACACGCACGTTCGTGTTACTCAGGGGAACGTTCGAGACCAGGGCCCTATATCTATCCGAAGAGGGCAAAGTGGAATCCCCCACACAGGAGTTGTGAGAGAGACACCCCACAGCATTTCAACTGGATGAGCGGCGGTGAGGTTGGAGTCAAAATACTTCGAGGAGCGTATACAGAGCGCAACAAATACCTCACGACCTAGCGGGCGCTACATTGCTCCGTCAAGCTGCAGGGCTTCAATAACTCGGTAAACACATCTGGTGGGGAGTATACGGTTTTACCTACCACACACGACGCGGCTTGACTTGACAAGTAGACGGTGGTAAATCGATCTTGCGACGGAAGCCATTGGTGTAATCCCTGGCTAACCCCCGTTGTTTCCACGTGGATTTTCTTGTGAGGGGTTTCTTTTACGGATGGATACATGCGAGCGTTTGCTTCTTTTTCTGTTTCCGCCCGTCAACCCGAATCCGGGGTGGCCTCCGTCAGCCCGCAGCTACACGTGTTCGGCAAGGCTTGTTTCAAGCAATCGTTTCTTTTTCTTGCAAACGACTGCTTGAATTCAACTGTGCTGAGGGCTCCCTTGCCAGTGAAATGGACCGATTCTCGGTGTTGCGGACAGTTCGAAGTCCTTATGCTGCACAGCGAAGGCGCATGCTTGAATTTACCCGGATACGCCTCGCATTGATAAGGGCACCGCCAGTGATTCCGTTCAATATCACCTCAACCTCAGGCTGGGATGTCGCCTATCGGGAGAAAGAGGAGGTACCTGGATCGGTCTAGTCGTTGCCTATGGGAACCGTTATGCAACAGGTCCAACAACGCCATGTAATGCACCGACAGACTGGCAGTGCCTTAAAGCTGCCCTGGCTGCCGGCTGGCCGCTCATCTGACCGGCGTCAAGCAGTTCGTCCTATTGATACTTGACCCTGGCTGGGCAGCCCGCCGTTTTTATTGATAAGCGCGCCGCACCCTATGGCTTCAGCGGGCGCTTCTGGTCAACGTGCAGATGGCGCGGGGCATATATCGAATCACAATGACAGTCAGGACGGCGCAGGCTAGAGGCACGGTTGCCAAGCTCTCATCAATACACCAGCGTTCAACAAGTGCCTCTAGGGCCTGCGGCATCACATCTTTGGCATGATCGGAGACTGTTGTACAGATACCCAGCAGCAACCGCACGGCACTGATGGAAGACTACTGGTCCCTGGCCTAAGCCGTGTTTGGCGTCAATGGTGGAGATTGCCACGTGGGTAGCAAGCCACACGGAAATTCGCACTCGACGCCAGGGGCCTGGTCTGAAGGATTTTGTGCGGAACGCTGGCACATGGGAGACTGGGCCCAAATTTGAAGTAGACGCCGCTTACGAGACAAACACCGACAGGGAACACCACTGACCGACTTGTCACCTGAGTCATCATAACCCCCGAGACCCTGTCCAGAGAAGGGGCACAGAGGCGCCGGTTGAGACGACAACTGCCCTGGGCTGGTTCATCGGCTTGAACCCATCGTCCATCACCAACCGATGAAGATGGGCGGTCGCTAGTTCGAAATCGCCAATCTCGCCGTGTTGCCACGAACTGACGGCTACGCCGATCAAGCGTGAAACCGCAAGAAACGCGGAACCAGCAGGGTGCGGTCCGGATACCGGCGTGGCTTTCACGCTTCGTATGCATGCTGTGGTGCTTAAATTACAGGTCGGCGGGATCAAGGGAAAAATCTCCAATGCCACATGGCAGGGCCGGGTATTCCCTTGCCGCCCTGCCATGCCTTTAGCTGAGATCAGTGAAGTCACCGCGTGCACAGGGGAGGACGAGAACACGCCTCAGGCGTACAACCCCCAGTGTACGCATTTGCATTTGATACGGCAAAGCGGATATACAATGGAGGTGAAGCAAGCAAGCAAACAACCCGTTGGAGGCACCCGCCAACGACATGGCTCCGAGTGGCCGGGTCAAAGCGGTCAGCGATGAACCATCGCAGCCCAGGGCAACACGGGTATGGGTGGGCAGGAAGCCCAGCACAAAATACCGACAGTATGTCACCAAAGGCGGGTTGCAGGTCGCCCGCCGGAGAATGGGCCAAGCTCCAAAAACTTTCATCCAGGTCGGCGGCTTCGGGGCCAATGGTGCGTATCGAACAAACGCAACGCATGACGAAGCGGTCATTTCAGACCAACCTTGGCCAGAGGCCTCGGGGAGAGCCCCCGAGACACATGAGAGCCAGTAACGACGCGATGAAGAAACAAACTATAGCCGGCCAATCCCACTCGTTACGTGGTATAGAGTTAAAGTGTCTCCTGGCGCGGTGTGGACAATATTGAGCAAAATACTCCACGGGAGCCACTTCTCAGCAATGATATGAAACTTTTCTTTGGCACTTCTCTTTCCAAACTGTTTCCAGGACCAGTCAACACCGCTTTTTTCCCCATCCCGGCTCGTCACAACGTCGCGTGGCACATTTTTGACACCGGATCCAGAGCAACAGCATCCTTGGTCAAGCCTTGCCAGCCGATCCCTGAGCGCAAGGTACACAATACACACCGCAAAGTTTGTCTGTACGGAGCACTTTTACACGAAAGGGAGGATGAAGGCGGCTCTCCCGGTGGAGCATGGTCGATCGGCACCCCTCCGTCGTACGACACAGCGAGCGCTTCCTAGCTGTCTAGCCTCTAGGGCCGGAGCTGACAGGTCGATCGGACTGTGACCTCGTACAAGGTACTTAGCCATGTGTTGAATTGCGTACAGCTTGCCGGCCACGACGTGGGTCGCTCGCTCTCCTCTACGCCGCCCAGCTTCATTTCGAGGCGTTTGACCTAACGCCTGTATCCATGTCAAGTCACGATGCCTCTCGGAGCCAAATAAGACCGTTTCACACAGAATGCTCTCAAATTGGGTCGCGACGGGCTTGGTTTAATGATGGACCGTCTCGACCTGAACCAAGGCCGTTTTCAAGAATATCATCGGGGGTGGGCTTGGTTCTAGAATGCCCGTGGAAGGATGAGCTTAATAGGGGGCAGCCAAGGGAGCCTGAAAAGCCGTGTCTTTAGTTTTTTTGGCGGCGCCAGGGGATCAATCACGACCACGCCTCTGACAGCTGGAGCTTTTTGCCCACCTTTAGTTGACAGCCCATCCTAGCCTGCGGTACATGAAGGTCAGATTGGGTATCCGGTCTACGAAGTACGGATGGCTGCTCATCAATGCTCAGCTCGGACAACGCGATAGCCAAACATTGCCAATTTACCAGCCATGGCAGTTGCTCCTCATCGGCGGTAGTGAATCAGCGAGCCATCATTTGCTGGTTATCCGCAGGACTACCGAATCAACGCGCCCGCTCGAATCCCCGTCAACCACGCAGGCGTCACCGCTCACGGCAAGTAGCGTGAGGAACGTTACACAAAAACCGACGTTCCGCAGTACTTCTCTGACTTCAATGACTCTTCTCGCTTGGCGAACCAATTGCGCGCACACTATACAGCGCTGGTTGAGCTGCCATTCAGTCTTCAAATCTGCCGTTCGGCATAGTGTCCCACATGGATACGGCGTGTTCAAGTAGAGTTGAATTGGGGTTGTAGGCGCGGAGTGACCTCAACCTCATCTTCCCTGCACGACGGGAGTCCGCAGTTTTCCGAATCCAGGACCTGGGTGGTCTTGGATGCTGGGCAACCGCGGATGCAGCTGTGCTACTCTCTCGCGTGGCAAAACGCCCTTCGTGAGACTATGCCCTCAGGCTTTGTGCGTTTTGTTTTACCCTGTCGGGGCTTGGCGAATCTGCCGATACCTCTGTCTTGGGTCCATGTTTCTACCAAAGACACAATGGAGCTCTAAGCCGTGGCTGAACACCACGCGAACCCAAGTGCCACAACCGGACTGAGCCTGAGGTACACGGCCGTTAGTAGCAGGGAGTGGAGGGCAGCCATGTCTGCCAGCATATCCGTTCGTTTGGGTCTGGAACTGCCTATCATCAACTAATACACGGGTGTCATTTCCTACGGATTCCTGGATGAAGGCCCTGTACCTGAAGGAGGTATTTTACCCCCGTCTGTCGGGGTTCAGATTCAACGGATGTCATCTAGCGATGGCGCGGTCGAGACTAGCCGCTGCACGCACCCTTCCGCCTGTCAACTAAGTCTCGTCCTAAGACTAGAGGCAGAAGTTGTCCTGGCCGCATAGCCTCGGCTACCGCAAGTCGATGCGTGCCTAGCCGCATAGTTTGCTGCTAAAGATTGCAAATGGCCTGATTATCTGACCCCCATTCCCATACAGACGTATATGCTGGGTGCTGGTATGCAGGCGAGCTTGTCGCACCTGCTGGCTGCTGTACGAACGGTGAGGCAAAGTTGAGACGAGAAGTAACGACTTTGAGGCTTGAAGCTGGAGGGCATGATCAGAGCAAGTACGATATGGCTATGGTTCCCGAGTCCTCGACGACGAAGTGGCTGAACAGCTGCAAGATGTCAATTCACTGCTTGATCAGCGATGACGAGCAAACGGAAGCAAGGAGATGCCCCGGAGAAAAGACCAATGCGCAACGGCCTGCACCAGCACGCTCTCGCCCATCTCGTGGCCCGTGACCGCCCTTTTGCTCTCGGCCAGGGACCAGTATCGCCCGCAGGTGATCTCCATCATCTTCAAGTCCGGCAGTTGCAGATGGCAGTGGGTTACAGCGTCTCGGCAGGCCGTCGAACGGAGCACTGCATGCCTTAGCGGCTCGTCGGCCATCGTCCGGAACCCTACCTGCACGGCACATCACGAGTTCGCATCTGCTGCTGATAGTGTCACGAACGCTGACGTCGTTGCAAGAAGGGGTGACTAACCAGCAATCCCGTGTTCTTATCTGAATCCTAACCAGATCTGATGGACAGCTGCCGTCAGAAACAGAGCCCCAAAGTCACAGCCCGATATAGCTGAGCCAACGGTCGATGGTTTCCAAGGGACCTATATCGGGATTGTCTTGAGTTCTGACGATGACGGCGCTATGATGGCACAATCCCTCTTTTGCCGACGCCAATGACTCGAGTCGTGGCGAAATAGGTCATTCGGGGCATTGCTTGACCGACCATGCTAGATTACACATTACGAAACCGACGGGCACGATATGAATTGGCATCTTCATCACGGCCGGTCATTCCTCCACAACGGCCGGCGCCGATTTCCCCAGGGGACCCGCCGCGCCAACCTCGTCTCTCCGATACCAGCGCGAGAAACTCGAGACGACGGCGCGCACTAGAAGTTTCCGTTTCCGATCACTTGGGTCCCGCAAGCCGACTTCTCATTCGCCTAGAATACGATATCCCGCCGCTCGTTCGGACTCTCTTATGCGGTAAGCAGGACAGACTTGCACGCAAACACACAGGCACATACACATGCACACACACAGACGGTGAGGGTAGTGAGTGCACCTTCTCGCTCCCGCAAGAGGCGGTCGAGAAACAGCAAACCAAACTCTGAATGGTATCATTGCCGATAGCTGTACGACTGTGTTTTAGGGGCCTCGGACGCGTGGGTGTAACTTGGACTTTCCTTTGGTTTACGGGTACTGGTGGACCGGCAACCTCCTCGCACGCTGGCAACCTCCTCAATGTACGAGCAGACCGCAAGAAACAAATTCCCGCCTCAGACCCATGGGCCAAGGCATGCGAGGGCGAAGCTTGAGCCAAGACCCCAAAGTCAATCTGGGTTTCGTTAAAGGGGTGGTGGGATGGAGGGCGATGAAATGTCTCCGTGCACATGACGACCGCGGGTTGCCCGCGCCGTGAGGCTCTTGTGACGGACGCCTCGCCGGCTGCGACGGATGTCGGGAGCTTCGGTGCGTGACAGCTGTCTGTACTCCCATCTCTTCCGGCACAACTCACTATCTTGATCAAATGACCACCGTCGCCGGTCAACGATTGACTCCGGAAGCCCCGTTGATTGTTGAACGCGCAGGCGCGAGATTCGTCGTGCTCCTTTATCCTGCTCCGATGACCCCGGAATGAATACATTCTGCCCTGAGCGTCTGTCGTCATACCTGCCGCCGAGTCAGGGCGTCTCCAGCCAGTTGATACACACCAAATTAACCCCCTCTTCCTCTCGACGCCCAACGAATGCTGATGACGACCTTACGGTCGGAAGGTCAGAAGAGAGAGAGACGAACAACTCAACGCCCACCATGAGCTCCTCGAAAACCCTCACGCCGCCGCTCGACGAAGGCTCGCCGCAGCTCAAGTTCTACAGAATGGAGCGTCCGACGGGACAGCTCTTCGAGCTCAAGGAGATGCAGAAGCAGCAGCTGACGGGGCTCGACGAGGCGGACGAGGTCCCTCCACCCCCTGGCCCCCCTCCAATGGCTCCTCCCCCTCCCCCGCCCCCTTTTGAGAGCGCCGAGCGCGGGCTGCGAGAATTCAACTACAACGGACGAGACATCAAACCCCGCAACAGCGAACGCAGCTCGGGCGCCCTCGGGCGGCATCGTGTTAGTTCGTACTCTATCTACTCCGACTATTCGTCTCATCCCTCTTCGGACGATGGTCGCCGTGGTGACGATGGAGGACGTCGTGATGCCGTGAACACGGGCGGCGGTGGTGGGAGCGGAGGGAGTGTACCGCAGATCCAACATGTCGAGCATCCGCCGAGACGGAATCTGAGTATGAGGGCTGCGCCGCCGACGCATTCGAGAAGCACTTCCGGTAACAGTCGCAGCAGCGGCCGGGGTGGCGGCTTGGTCGTCTCGCAGCCGCCGCCGACCTATGCGCCGTCCCGGGAGTTGTACAATCGTGTGCGATTCGCAGAACAGGAGCGCATCCGCCGGGAGGAGTCGAGGGCACCGGGGCCGCGGCGCATCGAGATGGTCGACGTCGTGGGCGGTCCCAGTGTAGGTGCGATGTGGGTGTTTGCGTGCTGTTACTTCTTCTGGTATCGTTGTTTGATGGACGGCGAGGACTTTTGACAACGAAGTTGTTCTCGACGTCACGAACACCACCAGCTCCGAGCCCCTTTTCTTATTTCCTTTCTCTTCCCCCCCTTTTCTCTTTCCGTCTTCTTCTCTGCTGGATGACTCCACCTCGGCCTTGAACCCAGGCATATCGTCGCCAAGGGTGTAAGTCGGCAACTTGTATCTCTCCTCGTGATGATACCGAGGATCATGGTCGCCTGCAAGACGGTGAACGACGTGACGATGCGACGACCCCATGACGGAACGCCATTTTTCTTTCCAACCTTCTCGAAGCCCACTCTCCAAAATCAAGTCGAAGGCGCCGTCATCTTCGTCCACGTCGATTCAACGGTTGCGATTCAGTTTCGCTGATGCTCGGCCGGAGGGTTGTGAAGTGTGAGGGCGACACCACCTACGTCCTTTTTCAACAAGGACAAATGGAGAGGCAGACCAGCCCGTCGTTGCCTCTCAGCAAAAAAAGAGCAACGATAACAACACAAAAAGACAGTGACAGAATCGGCATTTCTACCAGGTAACAGAAAGAAATGACCACAAGTTTGCGTATTGTTTGGTTTTTTGGGATGTTTCTTCCAACTTGGTTCTCTCAGGTCCGGGAATCTTGGGGAGTTTTGTTAATGGGACATTTGGGATATATGTCTTGTGTAACTATAGAACGGGATGCGCTTCATCATGTGAGAAATGACTAGCGGAACGGCCGTCCGGCTGTTCCGCGTGTACGGGTATATGGGGGAATTGGTTATGAGATAGCATATTATATATACACGAACGCCGTCTTGCAATCATAATCCCTGTGCGAGGGGGGGAAGGGGTGGGAGATGTGAACCCCTCAAATCTGAGTAAATGCAAGTATTTGTGTTTTTTTTTGGTTTCTGCTGTGCCGTGTCTGTCTCTGCATCTGAACTCTCTTTTACCGCGGGGTTTTGACGGTTTCTGACATGGGTTCGTCCTGGCTTTTGGATCCCCGAGTCGATGGTCCGACGATCTTATGCGTTGTTGGGAACCCCGGGAGACCGGCCGGCCACCCCCCCGGCTGCTTACACGATGCATGGGTTTGCAGGAGAACCTGCGGAGAATTTTCGAGACAGCTTGCGTTGGGCTTTCTGTTATGTGGTCTTTTTTCTGGGTACATGATATATTTGGAGGTATATCACGGGGCACCGGTTCTCGGGGAAACGAGCCCGTTCTTCTGTAGCCCGGTCTCGACAACCGTTTTGCTTTGCTCCATGACGGACAAGGATCCTATTCTTCTCCGTATACAATAGTATCTTCGTGAATTTCGTTAGATCGTCATCATGAAGACAATTCGAATGTAGGGGAAGCTTGGTGAAGGGCTTCTACTAGTAACTTGAGAGGGAAACGAGGGGGTGTATCAGGCAATTCATGCCGTTCGACGCCGGTTCTCGATAAATATTGGGGGTCCAATACTGGATGATTTCTAACGCCATGCATTGTCAGCGGTATCATGGAGCGGGGTGAAAACCTGATTTACTGCCGGCGGGTTGAAAGTGCTTGCAGGAGCACGTCGCTTGTGCCGTCAGGTTGGCGTTCTTCAAAGGCATGGCCGCGTCACGTCGACATCGAGAGCCAAGTGAGGTTCTGGGCTATCTGGGATGAGATTCGAGCTATTTATCCAATAGCAGGTTCTATGGCGTGACAAGAGCTCACCAGAGTCCAATAGCTCTCTCCCAGACGGCTACTATTCTAGAAAATGACGCCGGCGGGTATGGAGTAGGCTACATCTAAGTTTTCAACTACTCCAGCAGATTTTCACAGATTTGATTACCTACCGTCATCAAGATGCGAGTATTCAATCGGATAATCTAGAAGCTCTAGGCCAGGATACCTGGGGCATCCGTGTGGAAGGGGGTCGTTTGATGGGCACTTTGTATGCCGTCTGACAAGACCAAGAGGCCTTTTACGATTGTCTGAGTATCCTTGCAAACCCGATAGAGTCAGATGTGATACGTTGCGTGTCTAGATCTGTTCTTCTCCCCAGCGTCAACTTAAATAGGTAGCGTATGAGTATTACCCATAAACTTCAGGGACCCCGGCTTCGACGGCTCTCTCTGACGTACGGAGGGGACCTCGTGATGGCTACATATAGAGGCTTGAACAGGCCCCCGAGCCGAGATTTCGTGGGCTTCTCAATAATGATTTTCCGTCAACAGGTAGGGTTTCGATAACATATAACTATGACCAGTTGATGTTTAGAAGCAGGCTGCTAGTGAACAAGTATAAGTTTCAAGAAGGTCGACGTATGAGGAGTTCAACACCAACCCGCGGAATTTATTGATGGTCGATTCGGCGCGAAGGCGAATGCAATCGATCAGCTTGGTAACACACGGTACAGTCCAGACTAGGGTTACGGATGTGACTTTCGCGACGGAGAGGTTGCGGACACATGCTAGAACAGAATCCCGGTGTCATTCGGCCCTCTGTTGTGGCTAATATTGGGTTTAATTCAATACAATACTCGGCGCACTTGCTTAATCTGTTCTGCGCTACGTACTGGCCAATCTTCTTGCTACGAGCACCTAGCCTCGCACATAGAGGGGACTCGGCGTTGAAACGTCTGAAAGAGTTCAAAGAAGGCTCGCAAATTCGGCTTGGAGACGACTTCAGAGCAAATACATGTCCCGGATTAAATACCAAGCACGCTGTCTATGCTTTATTTCCACCGGGGCGAAGAAGCAGGATGCGGTCCCAGCCCGTTTACGTCGCATGAGACAAGGTACAGTAGGGCTTCCTCGTCGAATGAGCTCTGAAAACAGCTATTCACTACCAAATGGGGTCTTTCCAAGATACATAAGGACTCTTTGTTTGACCAGCCAGTCTATATTTACTGCCGGCTTGGTGCTCAGAACGGATAGAATAGATGTTGTTCTCCGCCAACTTGAGATTGTAACACCACGCAGGCGGCTCAACACTTGGTCACGTTGCGGGAGACAACAACCCATGCCACATTGCCGAGTCTCAGCTTAACTTCCAAGTCAACTTCAAAGGGCTTGAACACCCCACAGGAAGGAGACGAGCCCCCTCCCACGAGAACCTCACGTCGTCTCCCACCATAAACCCACCTCCTCATCATAACTCTTCATCAACTCGCCCGGCTAGCTCAATCGGTAGAGCGTGAGACTCTTAATCTCAAGGTTGTGGGTTCGACCCGTAAGCACCATCTGTTCCTGAACATACGTCGTCTGCATGTATTCTAACATCATCACAGCCACGTCGGGCTCAATTCCCGTCCGCGATTGCAGCGCACACAACTCGTTTTCTTTTTTGCCTGTCCAGAGTTTCGTCAAACTTTTTGGTGTCTTCTGGGATACTAAGCCCAGACAGCTCTTCAAGTCACAATAATTATGGTGCGGAGGGGCTTAAGGGTTGAGGGATTTAACTTGGTAAACAAGCTGTTTACTTTCTTACTGTGTTTACCCCTGCCTTGTGGAATTCACAACCTGCACAACTTCTGCTCTGCGAATGACATGACATAACAATGTCTGGACCACTAAGGTGCTTTCAGAATCTGGTCTTGGTTGTGTGCTGATAGCTTGTCCAACAGATGTTGTTCGGATTTGCCCTCTTTATGCTCTTTAATTCCTTTCCCTTATGTGAGAAAGCACGCACGATCATTCAATAACGCATGACGCAAGATAGAAGCCTAATTCAATGCCAAAGAAATCTATTCACAGACTGTGATGTGCTACTCCAACTAATCTCTCATGTACTTATACATTTTGTCTTTCGTCTAGTACCTTTCGCAGGTCGGCGCCTTCGGGATGGGCCAGAGCCTCAGCCCGTCCCATCTCCATCCCGGGTCGGCAGCGTGGTCTGCTCGCTTCCGGCGAACTTCCCAGAGACTATCACTGATGTGACGAGCTCTTGCGGATCCCGATGGCCAGCTTTCGGGCACAGGGGTGCCAACTGGAGCTACATCAGGCTCCTCACGCTTCTCATCAGCCATCAATTGGTCCTCCTGGGCAAACACGTCTTCCCATAACTGCTCTTGGCTGTTGTTGCTCACGATTCCTCCACTGCTATTCTCGCCAAAGGTATCTTCCCAGAGCTGATCCTATTTGCTCTCTCTCCAAGCAACAGCAAACGGCGTTCCCTAGTTCTCTCCGTTGGTGGTCTCGAGAGCGGCCTCTTCAGCCGCGGGCACCGAGGTGGGCTCGAAATCCATCTCTTCGGGGGTGGGTGCGTCCTCAATATCGGCATACTCCTGCTCGGCGATCGCGGCCTCCTCAGCGGCCTTGGCCTTGGCAGCCTCGTCAATCTGTTTTTGCTTCTGGAGGCTGTTATTGATCAATGGCGTGGTGTCGTTGAAGATACGCAAGAGCATCGCCGTGCGGTCGTCCTTGGGCAGCATGAGGTTGAGGGAGTGGATGCTCTTCCACAACGGGAGCGCAATACGCTCGCTGAAGGAGGCATCGGAGCCGTCGGGCTCAACCCGCAGCACGCAGCAGCCCATGCCAATGTCCCTGATGCGCTCTCCTATTTCGCCCATGGACTGCCACTCGCCGTCGGCGATACGGGGGAACATCTCGATGAGGAGCCTGCGGAGGGTCTCCTTGTTTGTGAGGCGGACGACGCGAGACTCGCCGACATAGCCCTGGAGGATGGGCATGCCTTCGGACTGGATTCTCCAGCGGCAGACCTCGGCAGACGGGGCGTCCTGCTTCATAAACATCTTGACGCCGCCGTGGATGACCTTGATGCCGCGACCCTCGTTCTCTTTGAGGATGTCGCGCGCCAGGGCAGAGGTGTAGTAGATGGCCTTGGCAGGCTCGCCGGCGGCGTTGCGCACCATGAAGCGGTCTTCCGGGAAACGAGAAGAGATGTGATAGAATCCCTTGATGTGTTGAATGACCTCGTGCTTGGGGTCGAGGTACTTGTAGGGCTCCTCGACCTGGCCGTGGGCGTTGCGGTTGGATTTCTGAGGCTTGTTCTGCGATGCAAGCTTGGGCTTCTTCGCGTCTTGGGACTCGCCTTCAGCCGCCTCGTCCTCGCGCGGTCGCTTCGTGCCGTTTGTGGCATCCTGCGCGGGGTCCTCAGCCGCAGCCTCGACCGTCTCCTCAGTCTTCTCTTCAACCTTCTCGTCGGTCTTCTCGGTCTTCTCTTCAGTGTTCTCCTCCGTCTTGGTTTCGGTGCCGTTCTCAGCCGCGGGTGTGACGGTCGCTCCGGTCCCGTTTGTATCGGACTTCTGGTCCTCGGGACGAATCTTGAGCTCCGACTTCTTCTGCAGGACCGTGATGAAGAAAGCGCCGGTGTCCTGCTGGTGACCGTAGACTCTCATGCAACGCTCAAGGGGAAGGTTAGCGCAGACGCTGTCCTCCAAGGGAGGAAACATGGTCTCGGCAAGTCTGCCGGGGGCGATGCCATCAGTGCTGTTCTTGGTGAACTCATCGACTTCCGCCTGAGAGCTCCACAGCCTGCCAGACTTGTCCATGATCTGCCATTTGCGCATACCAGGGGCTCTGATGAGACCCTTCAGCTCGTTGCTGCAGTCAACGATCTCGACCTTGTCGGGGCCACCGCAGCGATCGATGGCAGCAGCGATAACGGATTCGTTCTCGACGGGGTTCATGGAGCAGGTAGAGTAGACAACACGGCCTCCGACCTTGAGCATGGCGAGGGCACGCAGCAGGATTCTGACTTGAGTAACGTGGAGACCGAGGGCATTTCCAGGCTGCCAATCCTTCCAGAGGTTCGCGTTCTTTCTCAGGGTGCCGTCGCCAGAGCAAGGAACGTCAGCCAAGATTCTATCAAACTTGAGGTAGACGGGCTTGTTCGGGGTCGCGGGGTCCGAAGGGAGCTTGATTGCCGGGTACTGCGTGGCGTCGTGGTTAGTGACGAGCAGGTTGGGTGATGAAATGCGCTTGAGCTGGTGAACAAGGAGGTGTCCGCGCTTGTAGTCGGCGTCGTTGGCGATCAGAATACCGGTGGCACGACCGTCATCCGAAGAGTCGGCTGCGAGATCAGCCTCACGCTCCTCCTCGGTCTCGTCGCCAAGGGCAAGTCCATCCTCCTTGGCGTAGGCGCGCAGGACCTTTCGGATTCTAGCCTCCTCGCCCTGGTGAATCATCTCAAGAAGCTGGCCGGCCTTGCTGCCGGGAGCGGCGCACATGTCCAGGACAGTCATGCCAGGACGAACGTCCATCAAAAGAGGAGGGATCATGCTGACGACCTCCTGTCTGCTCGTGTTGCCGACACTCGTCTCAGAGACCAAGAACTTCTGGAAGGAGGAAAAGGGAGCATATTTGCGAATGACGTTCTTCGGGGTGGTCATCCACCAGGCAAGTTCGTTGGGGTACCACTCGAGAGGCTTGGGGGGCTCGACGGCGCGGCCATCGGCGTGTTCGATCTTGACGATCTCGGGCATGTAACGTTCCTGGAAGAGCTTCTTCACGGTCAAGGCGTGGCTATATGGGAGTCAGTACGAAGTCCATGATCGATCTCAATTGAGTCACTGCGACGTACCCCTTGGAGCCGCAAAAACGGAAGCTGTTGGGGAGATCTCTGCGCAGCGCATCCCAGAAGGGACCCTGCTCCTCCTCGGACAGGCCGATGATGGTGTTGTAGTAGCGCTGAAGCCTCTCGTTCTTCTTGTCGACGGCCGGGTACGACTGCCACGACTCGCTGCGAGGCTGGCGGCCGCGGTCAGCACCGCCGCCGCGTCCCTTGCCCTTCTTGCCCTACCGCGCACGTCAGCACAATCAAAACTTCATTTCGACATTAAAAAGCTACCAACCTTGAACTTGCGACCCATAATGCAGGCTCTGTTGACGTGCGTGTGTTGTTGGTCGCGCGCGCACGTTTGTTGTGGGAGATGAAGTTCAGAGGTGAGACCGCAACAGCTGTCGCGCGGTAGGAAATTTTGCCGTCACTCAAACGAGACCGACCAAAAAAAAAAAAAAAAAGTTGGAGGTTCGGGCGGTATGCGCCAGCCCCTCGATTTGGTAAAGATTGGCCAATCACAAGAGGCTAGGTGGGCTATCTTATCACCCCGCATTAGACCCCTGTCCCTCAGGGTCTCCCCCCGGCTTGTATCCGCAAAAGCACCTGAAAGACAGACAGACACACTGCAGCTCCTCAAAGTCAACAGTTCCATCAGTCAGCGGGGAGCTGCTTAGAAAAAGTCCACTTCGCCTGGAAACTTCATCTCATGGTGGAAACTCTAAGGCATACAGTGTCAAGTCTTAAAGCGTGAGCTTCAGCTCGACTGATCTGGCGAACACCTTTGTGGTCACTGTAGTGTGCTCTGAAGGCTTTACACGAAAGCTCCTGAAACCTCTGCAGCTCCGTGTTATCCGCGGCGCAGCACCAGAGCTGCCGTTCGCCTCTTACCTCCGTGTACTTATACGGCTTGCAGATGACATATATGTAATCATTAGCACGCGAGCAAGTCTGTGTGTTGGCTGGCGTACAGAGACGTCCGGTCTGCTAATGCCTGGAAACTGATTGGGTCCTGCTCGCAGCATGGAGTGGGCACCGAGGCAGTCGCTGGCAAGGATAGGCCTAACATCGATCGCCCAATGCGGGGTTGTTGCCTCGGGACCTGGGGAGCTTCTGTTACTACCTGCCGCCGTAGGTGCCTTAGTTCTCGACTATGCTAATGTTTCCCCCAACAAGAGCTTGTTTTGCCATCAGAACGTGGGAAACGGCAGCCGAATGCCAGCCGAGAGGTTGAGACATCCCCGCATGCGAGGATGCGTCCGCGCCTTTCGGCTCGACAAGGGCGCGAGCTGGAGGCGACTCGGACTACTTAAATACCATAGCTCTCATAGATCGATTTTCTTTTTAACTGGTGGTCATTGTTGCCCCTCAGCTTCGTGACTTTGTAAACTTCACAACCCAGAATCATGGCCCCCGCATCAACCGTCAACCAGATCCCACAGGTGGACGCCACCGCCGCCTCCAATGGCAAGGCCAAAACGACCGTGGACAGAGGCTCGATGAAGCTTTCTCTGAACATGAAGCCAGTCAAGTACGACGACCCGTACCAGCAACGACAGCATCTCAAGGAACGTCTCGCTTTGGGCTTCCGCATTTTCGCCAAGAACGGCTTTGATGCCGGCGTGGCTGGCCATATCACTGTTCGCGTGAGTTTCTCGGGTCTCCGTATTGCAGCCTCTCTTCTGACAAGATGGTTCAGGACCCAGTTGAGCCAGGGACCTTCTGGCTGAACCCATTCGGCGTTCCGTGGCCTCTACTCAAAGCGTCTGATTTGATCCGGGTGGACGAGAACGGCGAGGTCGTCGAGGGCGGCCCTGTTAGACTGCTCAACACCGCCGGTTCGCCACTCTCTCAAACCACGCTACCATGAATAACGTACTAACACTTCCCAGCATACATGATCCACCACGCCGTCCACGAAGCCAGGCCCGAAATCAACTGCGTAGCCCATTCCCACTCTCTCTACGGCCAGGCCTTCTCCACCCTCGGCCGCAACCTCGACATTATCAGCCAAGACACGTGCGCCTTCTACAACGACGTCGTCTTGTACGACAACTTTGGCGGAATCGTGCTGGGCAAGGAGGAGGGCATCCGCATCGCAAAAGCGCTGGGCGACAAGAAGTCCGCCATCTTACAGAACCACGGCCTCATCACCTGCGGCAAGTCGGTCGAGAGCTGCGTGTATTGGTTCCTCAGCCTGGAGCGCTGCTGCCACCAGCAGCTCCTCGCCGACGCCGCCGCGGGAGGTCGCGGTCACTTGACCACCAAGGTTGAGCAGGAGGATGCTGAGTTCACATACAAGTCTATCGGTACCGAGATGGCGGGATGGTTTTCTGCGAAGCCGGCCTTCGATATGATGGAGCACGAGTCTGGAGTATCGTACAAAATGTAAAAAAAGGGTTTACAACTAATGGGTGGCTTCTTTGTCTCATATTTCAAGAATGCAATCAGTCCAGGACTGGCGTTGAGTGGTTTTTTTACAAATATGGTACAAGCGTGATACATTTACTCATCAAGTAATCCTACAGTCCAGTGAACAATCCTGTCAACTCCCTGGCCATGAATGGCGCTTACGGGAATGACGGCGCAATTTTCCGTCCAGGTCCCCTTCTCAACGCCACTTGGGTGAGGAGCGGTACCGTTGTTGATTTGCTCAAGGTACTCCTTCAGTTGCTTGAAATTCTCCTGCGTCTCGGGAAGGTCGGCCTTGGTGGCAACCACGAACCATGGCTTGGCTGTGATGTGTAGTCCCGACTCCTCCTTGGGAGTTTCAGGGGCATCGGCAATCATCATGTTGCCTCCGTATGGACGCTGGGTGTCGCCATTGGAAGCGAGGTCCCAATCGATACGAGAGTCGACCTCACGATCTCGCTCCTCCTCCTCGCGCATCTGGGCATAGAGGCCGACCTCCCTCCACAGAGCATCGAGCGCCTTCACGGCAGGTCCAGCGGAGAGGTCGATAACGAAAGCAAGCACCGCAGCTCGCTCGACATGACGCAAGAACTCCATGCCAAGTCCACGATCCAGATGGGCACCCTCGATGAGACCCGGGATATCAGCAACCGTGAAGCGAGTTCGCTGTTCAACCCGGACTTCTTCCTCGTGGGTACCAGTTGAAGATGCAGCAGCGGGATAGCGCTTGTAACTCTTGATGACCGGTCGGCCCTTGTAGTTGTCCAACACGACGGTGCCGATGTTGGGCTGCAAAGTGGTGAAAGCCCAGTTTCCGACCCGAGTGCGCGAATTCGTAAGAGCCCGAAGCAGTGTGCTCTTGCCGGCGTTTGGCAAACCCACGAGACCAACGTCGGCGAGCAGCTTCAGTTCGAGTTCAATTTGCATCGTCACGGCTCGCTCGCCCTTTGTTGCGAAAATTGGCCTTGGAAATTCGCGAGATACAAAGTGCGGGTTGCCGAGACCGCCAACGCCTCCGGTGGCAAGCAGAATCGGCTGCGGTGATGGGCGTGACAAGTCGATTTGGATAGGGCCAGGAGGCTGGTGGTAAAGTCGTTGACGGCGAGGGGCCTTTGGCAGAGCAATAGTCTTCAGGTCGGACTTGGACAGGCCTGGATATAGAAGCCACTTGTGACGCTCGGGATCCTCTGGCTCATCATCCTCCGGCTCGGGCTTCTTGGCCTTGCGTTCTTCTTCGATCAATCTATCCTCCTCAATCTCCTCGTCGGTCATCACCAGTTCTCTGCGCGCAAGCTCCTCTTCGCGCTCTCGCTTTGCACGCTTCTCGGCCTTTCTCTTCGCTCGCAATGCGCGCTGGAGCACCGCCTCCTCAGCAACGGGGTCTTCTCTTCCCAGCTCGCGCAAAACGGTACCGACGGGTACGGTGATGATGACATCCTCGCCCCGCTGGCCGCCCTTCGCGCTGCCTTGTCCAGTCTTCCCCCGCCCTGCGCGAATAAAGCGTCTCCTCGCCAGCTTGTGTAAAGAGGTCTCGCCGTGGACGGCTTGGATGTAAATGTTGCCTCCATGGCCTCCATCGCCGCCGTTTGGGGGACCGTCGGGAAGATATGCGTCGCGCATGAACGATATACACCCATGACCACCAGGGCCAGCATAAAGAGTCAAGCTGGCCTTGTCAGCAAAATTGGGCGAGGCATAGTCGTCGGGCGCGGGGTTGAGTCGGCTCGATGGTGGTTCTTGGGCGACGTGGGTGGAGCTATGGCGGCGGGATGCGATAGTCCTCGTAGCGAGACGGGATGCGCTGGTGGCTCGGGAGACAAAAAAGGAGGGATATAGGAACGGAAGAAACAAAGAATGACTGCCGGAGCATCTCGACGCCATTGTCCCGAGCGACCCAGCTAGAAGCCGATCGTGAAGAATTGGTCACCTGCAGTTGGCTGTCATGAAGCTTGGGAAATTTTGGGTTGCCGCGATAGGGCGATAAGAGAAGAGATCTACTGCCTTACATAAGGTGGCAGGGGGACGACGTCTACCAAAGCTACCAAATCAATTTATTCGTGTTCGGAAACACTGCTGCATCACAGCGTTACCTCAGAACCTATTTCGATGAGAGGGTCGAACACGTCAGAATAGCGAATGAATTCGCCGGCAGTATCTGCGTTTCTCAGTTGCAAATCAGCATAGGCTGTCTGTTGGACGAAGGAGCCGCGGGCCCCAACAACCTTTGAATACCGCCATCCCATGCTGATGAATCGCTGGTTTCTGGCCGCGCCCGAATCGATCGTGTGCTCGGAATTGGGCAAAGGACCATTGTTGTAGTTCGAAGGCAAGGGAACGCCGCAAATTCTGTCAGTAAGCGTTGCGAGACGGCGGTGGAAAGTTTCGAAGTCCGTCTCTGGAAGCTCGATGACAAGAGTGTTATAGATGACGGCCAGGCCGATGCAGTCGGGAACGAGTTCAAAGGCGAAGAAGTCAATGGCTTGCTGAGGAAGAGGTGCGCGGGGCTTTATCATTGAAACAATGATCTTGTCGATGTCGATTTCGTCTCCCCAGGCGAACTCTCCAAAGATCGGCGAAAACATACCGTCGTCCTCTGACCTCCAGACTGCGATCGCGTCAGCGATGGTAGGGGGGCGGTTATCCTCAGCGGGGGGGCCTCCACGGCACATGACCTCGATGAACGGAAGAGCAATCCCAATTTCAACAGCATGATACTTGGTGCATAGATAGTATATGAGCGCATTCGTCTGTTCTGTGGTCAAATTCGTTTGGGCGAACCATCCGTCGGATCCTTTGTAAGATAGACTCTCGATGTCAATAGTTGGCGTAGGAATGACCGCATCATGGGCGTCGTCGTTTGCCGACTTCGTTACGTGAGACTCGATGACTGACATTTCCGACTTTCCTGTCTGGTTGCTAGTCTCTGTAGGGGTGAATAATATGAGGATAACGAAGACGATGAGAATTAAGGAAGAACATATTGGTCGACCCTGAGCTGTGGAAAATAAGTACCCACAAGGTTGCTTAGGCTTTACCTATACATACTTACCCTTTCACTCTAGACAATTTCCAACCCTTGTGAATACTGTCGATACAATACGATACGCAACCTTTACGCCGCAAGGTAGGTTCTTACATAATGTGGCGGGGGCGGGAGCAACCGACCGCGACTGGGATCAACTGGCGAACGACGCCGTCAGGCAGCCCAAGCTTGTTGAAAGCCGTCTTTTCCAGGCCAGAGCACTGCCTGGTTGCCTTGAGTTGCCTGCGTTGGAATAAGACATAAAACGAAGGGATCGGACGTCTTTTCAGCCTCTTGGACGTCTCTTCCACACCTCATGAACCACTGGTGGGCTTCGTACAGCCAACGCAACTTTAGCCGAATCGAAATGCACGGAAAAAGGACGATGCAGCTTACCCATGGCCACTTGCCACAGGTTTATCGCCTCGATGCATCGTAATCCGACAACTTTATCTGTTTCAGTGGGCATGCTTCACCAGCGGGCGGCAGGCTCTGGCAGCAGTCCAGCTGAGGGAGGTACATGGTCTCAAGATGCGGTGAGCGGGGGTCTGAGGTTCTGACAAGAGGGGTTGCAGATGCATCGACCACCGGCCGTTCCGCCAAACACCGGCGGCAAAGCCATGGGCGGCGGCCATGTTGATGGCGATGGCGATGTTGATGGCGAACCAAGTGGTTGGTCTTTTCTTGCTGCGCGAGCTGAAGGGGATGGCAACAAGTTTTGAGGCTCAATGGCTCTGGCAATCTCCTCTTCGATGGTGGGCGAACAAATGGAAATGGATTGGGCCCTCTGGGTTGCATCCATCCATCGCAGCAGCAGCAGCAGCGAGAGTCGTGCAGTGGTGCATGGTGTCGGGTGTGTGTGTGAGGTGGAAATCCAGCCAGCCACCCCACCGCACCCCACCCCGTCGTGCCGGCCGTGTCGGCGTCTCGAAGGACCCAGGTCGGGCGGGTCTCACAGTCTGCCCCTCTCCGCTTTCTTTCCTCTTCGGTGGCTCCCGTTGGACAGAAGACGGCCAGCGGAAAGCAGGCTGGTGCTTGTCGCTCGCTTCTCGCCCAACCTCCCCTCCCCGCTTCACAGCAAACGCCCCGCGGCTTCTCTTCTTGAGGTGTCTCCTAGTGGACAGTGGAGGTTGTCTTGCCTTGCTGCAGGACAGCAGGTCACAGGCGTCGGGTACATGCTACCTTACCTGACCCTACAGACACAGTCTGGTCTACTGCGGTAGCAATTGGCCGTTGACCGCCTTGAAGCCCAAACCCAAACCAAAGGCGGAAACGGAGACGGCACCGGAGCCAGACTGGAGAAAAGCTGAAGCTGGGAGCCGAAAACTGAACGAGGGGCGAACAACGCACACATAATCGTCCCCATCCGTTTCTCTCATTGCTCAGATCCAAACAGCTTGCTGCACCGCAACTCGCAACTCTTCAGAGTCTGTCTGTCTGCGGGTTTTTACCATTTCCTCGCCATCCATCGTCGACCACCTCACCTCCCACAGACCGTATCGTATCTGCCATCCCATTCTTCCCCCCTCCCATCCCACGAACCACGCAAGACGCACGCAGAGCCCGCCGCTTCGTTAGTGTCCGCCCAAGCAGCATCAGCATCAGCACCAGCACCGGCACCAGCGCCGACACCAGCTCATCCCATTGGGACGCCGTTGGGCAAACGACGTCTGCTGCTTGCCACCCCTCCCATTGGGCCACTCTGCCCCCAGACTTGCATATCGCAACACGCTCGCATTCGAGCCACGACACTCTCTGCAGTCAAAAACCCCTTCCCATTCGGTCTTCTCTTCATCTGCCTGCGCCCTCGTGGATCGAACTATCTTCTCCCCACGTCTCCTCCGCATCGACTGTTTTTGTCTCGTCTCCCCTTCTCACTAGGAGCCGCCTGTGTCGTGCTTCCCGACTGCACTGCACCGCACCGCACCGCAACGCACCGCTCCGGCAACGAGTACGACCACTTCTTGTTTGTTCCCTGCCTCGGTCCTCTCCATCCTATCCCCCGACCTTGGATCCCTTCTGCACTGCTCACTGCTACTGCTGCCACTATTGCTGCTTGCTGTCTGTCGTCTTGTTTCATGCTTCGAAGCTGCATGATACATCGCACCAACCGACAGTACCAACTCGCTTTATTCGTCCTAGTATTGTTTATTCCCAATTCCTTCCTTACCGCTGCCGACACGTCGGGTCCTTCATCTGTCACCATTCTCCCCTCTTAATAATAAGTCAGGTCAGTTCATCACCGCCTTCCTCTCTTCCTCCCATACTCCCTCTCTACTCCAACGCCCCATTGCAACCCCAACCCAGCATTTCTTTTCTCAAGAGACCCATGGTACGGGTCTCGAGGAAGAATGTCCATTGTACTAGTAGTGGATGAACCATCTTGATCTCCTTGTACACTATCCTTACTCGGAACCTTGCCCCATCCGTCGACTATAGACCGTCGGCGTCCCAAAAGGGAACCCTCCGCTAAGATGTATACCAGAGAGAGAGATCATCATAGGCCGCGGACACCACGCACGCCTCGTCAGCGCAAAACCACAGTCAGGATGGACCCCGACTGCGCCATTTGCCATGCTCCTGCCACTCTGGCGTGCGATTGTGAGGCCAAGGGTCTTGATGTTGCCATTAAGCAGGCCGAGCATCGCATGATGAACACGATATACAACGAGATTCGGTAAGTATAAGGGGGAGCAATGCCGCAGTTCCTCCAATCACTGACTTGTTCGCCAGTACTTGGGTTCGTGCCCATGCCCAAGACTACATCTTGGAGTATTTCCGTCTGCTCACTGAGCGCCGAAAGGCTGCTCACACCGCCAACCTCGAACGCATCACCGCCCAAGCCTACCACTACTACCACACCCAACCTCACCCCAACGAGATTGCCGAGGCACAAGCGAGCCTGAAGCGCGGTATTGACGAGGACTGGCAGTCCAGCGTTCAACGATATCCCGAGGTTTTGGAATACTTTTACAGTCTGGTAGACCTGACGCTCCCTCCCGATGACGATCCCACCGTCAAGGACCCTCCGCTGAGCGCCCTCAGCGGCTCTCGGAAGACCAGCCGGCGGATCCAGGTTGGTGGACGTGACATTCCGGCCATTGCAGGTGTCAGCTCGCACGAAAAGGACCCATTCGCACGAAGAACGCCGCCGCCATTCGAGCACCCACGAGGAATGGGCAGGAGAACACCGGCCCCTAGAGACCCTAGGGAAAACAGGAGATCCATGCCGCCCGCAGGCCCTCCTCCAGGAGGACCGCCCGGCCCCCCGGCACCTTTCGGCTCCAGAGGAATGCCGGGAATGGCAGGCATGGCGCCGCCGCCCGGTCCCGGCGCTTACTACGGCTACGGTGGCCAACCATATTAAAGGATTCACGCGCTGGATATTCCCCCGGAAGCAAAAAGGTCTTGTTTGTAATGATGTTTCATGAGATCCACGAACTGCATAAGCCTTCTCCCCCCTTTCCCGCGGCCTCGCCAGACTATTGCATTGCAGAAACGGTGCGGCACCACTCAGGGACCCCCCACCGCGGCGTTGTTGATACGTTTCTAGAGAGAGACAGAAATCGTGTTTCCGTTTCACCAGCTTTGTGTACTTGATTTTTCATGTTTCCTCTCTTATGTCATTTTCGGTAGGTTGGCGTCGGTGTACGGGCAACGGAAAGAGGGGAAACTTCACATTCATAGCTGGCATTCACGACGGCGCAGGCCGGATACCTCTTACTTTTCTTCCACATTTACCATACTTTTGCGCTAGTATTCTATGACAGATGAAAACAGCCTATCAGATATGCGGCGAGCTAGAGCAATCTACAAACATTTAAAAAGAAGTTTCACGGGGACGGTTGACCGTCTTCGTTCTCAACTTGTCTCTGAGCACTTACTTTCCTTCGGGTGAATTTGGGACACGACACACATCATTGTATTGCCGTCGTGGACATGTGACTTCGTCATGTCCGCGAATCAAACAGACGTCGTCATATGATCACACAACACACATACACACAACGCGAGCAACCGAGGTTACCTAGACAGGACGCGAGTCAAATGAAGCGCAGAGACCGAAAACTGCACCCGAAAAGAACGAAGGTCAGCTGTGAAGAACATGTCACTCCACACACAGGTCAGCAGCATGTCAACGACAGCGGGGACTCTTTGCTTTTCTTCCCTTCCTCAAGGGTCATGTCCGACATGACGCACAAGCACACCTGCCCGACGCGAGCCCAAGAGGACGGACCAATGCCGGCGATTCGGCGTCGTGATAGGGTCGGCACAGCGCGCGGGTTGCAGCCGTTGGTTTCGTCATGCATGCCAGACATGACAACCTGGGGGGCAGGGGAGAGCTTCTTTTTTGTTTTGCATTGCTGGCGTTGGTGGACGCGGGCTTTCAGACATGGTCGTGATTGGGACGGTTCGTGGGCAGTACAAGGTTATCTCTGACCACTGAAATTTGCTCTGGTGGGTTAGTCTTGGGCAGCTAGGATACTCACGGCCCATCACATGACGGTATAAGAATGCCCCATCCTGTACAGGTTGAAAATAGCTTTTCTCTTTTCCTCTCATTTTGCGCTGGAACAGGGGGAGCTGCTAAGTACAAGAAAGCCCTCAAGGTCGGCGAGCAAGTGGGCTGGAAAGACGCAGAAAATCGCCACAGTTATAAAAAAAATGTTTGCGTCCCCGAGATCCGACTTTTTATGCAAGGGTAGGAGTTTTGGGTGTGTGTGTGTGTGTGTGTGTTCGTTTATCTTTATAGGTTTGAGCTATTCGGGACCCTTAGGCTGACCGAATAGTCATGGGTGAGAGGAGTTTCTCAGTTCAGGCTCAGGCGGCGGTTTGGAGGGCGGTGATGGAAATCATGCCTTCTCCTCGACG